CACCCTGGCAGAGCAAAAAAATCCTTAGTTAAATAATTTTCATTATAGACAGCTTTATAAAAGTATAAAAGCTCTCGTAAAGTATTTTTCTGAGGTCTGTCTTATCAGGTAAATTACTGTACATAGTGTATTCATTAATTTTCATTTTCATGTAGTAAAGGCTCTATGCCTTCATAAAGGACATACTTTTCCTTTAAGGGTATTTGGGCAGTTTATTCTCTGTTGTATTCTCAAGCAAACAATACATACAAATACAGTACAGTATTTTCTGAGGAAACACGCATACTTATCCTTTTTTAACCCCATTTCCGATAACCCGGCATTTTCACAAACTCGGCCACCCTTCGGTCCACATTAGGCCGAGTTTTCGAGGCTCTACTGTATCACTGTTTAGCTGTTTATATAGTGCAACCCACATGCTGGGCATGTCAAGCGTGGGAGTGTTGCATGGCTCCCAGATTGTTGTAAAGATATTGAAAACAAGTTTCTGGTTGCTGCAGCATCTGAGTAGTAGTGTTTGGAACAGAACTACAATGGGTTGTAGTTCTGTTCGAGCACCTTTTTTGTGAGCTCTGTGATACACTTTCCTTTCACCACATGATCCTGGTGCTCAGCTAGGCAGCTAGCAAGCATTCATATTGTGGCCTCAATGTACTTTATGTTCACTCTCATTATGGGATTCTCCAACAGCACAGCATAGACTCCCAATTTTTTAAAAGTGAATAATTTATCCCAATTATTGTAGATGAGTCTGCACAAATTTGGTAGCAGAAATAGGGGCAGGAGAAAGTTATACTGCCTGAATATACAGCAAATGTGTATGGAAAAGGGTCTGAGGTATGGTAATGGCTGGTGAATTATTGACACCTCCCTCTTGTTATGCAGTGTTTTGCTTGGAAATAGATATTCCATGACCATATTACACATATGCATGAACTTAGCACATGAAAAACCATCTGTGCATACTGCCAAACTGATGATGCTTGACTCAATGTTTAGGGGTTATCCATAAATGACATCCATACTGGGAGGAGGGACAAAGGGAGTTGAACTTTAATGAAATAAAATGGACATCCATTGAATTTTATACTTTATGCATTTTATTATTCATAAACTGATAGAGGTTTGAGGGGGGGTGAGTTTTGTTGGACATCTGAAGAGGGGAGGGGTTATGGAAACTTGGACAAATTGGGACATTGGGGGGAGGAGTAAAAATTTCAAAGAAAAATGCAGACATAATTATGGACAGTCCCTTACAAGTGCTTGCATTGACAGTAATAAGAATGCTCTTCTAGTGAGGACAGTAATAGTGGTATCAACATATCACAAAAGTTGGAAAGCAACTGCAGGGATGATATGAGGCACCTTATTAAATTTATGGAAAACTGAGAATAGTAGCTCTTCAAGGGATCTATGTATGCATAAATTCAAGAATGTTATTGCCACATCAACTTCTTTTTCCCAAGTGAAGTTAATAGAGTGGTACACACTGAACGTTTGTTATTAACATGAGAAATGTCTCGCCTGTGTCCTCCCATGCTTTGAGAATATCATCAACATAACACAAGCACAACAGCAGGTAGTGATGATGAACATGAGTTCATTGAAAGTGTTAGTGAATATAAAAAACTATTAATGCCACACTCAGTGTGTTTTTACTTTTTGTATTTTGTAAATAAAAATATTCAAATAAAATTTAAGTTTTAAAGTAATTTTATTTCATTTGAAGAGTTAATGTGATTTTATTTCATTTATATACTTAGAAATACCAAGCACACAATTTACAGACTCAAATCTTATTTTCAACATTCTAATTTTTCAAGCATTCTATTTTGTAATGATTGAGAATGCCTTGAATATAAATGGAGGTAAAAGTATATTTTATTAAATAAATTCACTTATTATTGATATGTATGTGCTTTAGACATAAGCTTTAAAAGAATTTAATTCAATTAGCTAAAAAACTTGTTTATATGCAATCTTCAATGATTGTCAACAACAGACAAGTGCTCATCAAATTATTGATCCTCAAGCCAGGTTTGAATTCAATTTAAACAATCATTATTGGATAAACTTCAGAACAGAACACTGGTTAGTTTAAATTAAAAATTAATTAAAACAAAAGAATAGGTTATATTCATAAGGGCTGGCATTCATTGAGGGAGGCGAGTTTCATGCCATACTTGCAAATGTTCAAAACAAGCTTATGATATGTTTTTGCCAGCCTAACAATAATGTAATTGTCTGAATTTTCCATTATTACAGTTTCTATTTTTACATTATGGTTATACTGGCCAAATTGTAAACTTGTTTTGAAGAGTTGCTAGAATGACATGAAACTAGTCTTCCTCAATGAATGCCAGTTCCTTTAGAGAGGAGTATACCCCCTTTTTTCCCCCTGTACTATCATAATTTTTAAAGTATTTCCAAGTGATGTTTCATTTTTTATTCTTTTCATCTATACTTGCTGTCCCCGTTATAGACCGAGATCACAAATGTAATAGAAAAAATCCCAAAACTTTCTATTAGTGTTGCCACCTTTTCAAAATCACTGACCTGGATGACAGGTGAGGTTTGTTCGAACAGAAGTTCCTGACGCATGCGCAATGTCATTTTGCAGTGCATGCCGGTTCTAAATCAGTTACAGTTAGGGACTAGGGAGACTTGGGTAGGAGTAACGGAGTAACGTAAGTAACCTAAATTAAGAAAAACAACTACAGATGACTTATCTCTATTGGATATTGGAGACGTGTACAAATACGAATCATACAAGCAAAAAAAAAAAAAAGTTGACAGGTTGGGCACGATATTCCCGCCAGACAAAATTAATAGTTCACCTGGACAGTGAGTCAATTCCCGGACTGTCCGGGTGAAAACTGGACAGTCCAGAAATCGATTTTATTTCCAGACATTAATACATGAAATAGACATTCAATCCAATTTCTCACTACTCAAATCAGGCCAATAGCCATAATATGAATCAGTTCAACATTAATCAATCAGTATTCTTAATCATTAAAATTTAACAAACACATCAAATACTTGATATGTTTGTTATTTGAATATTTTGATAATAGATTCAAAATTCATAAGATTTGTGAACAGAGATATCAACTGATAAAATAAAATAAGTTAATAACAAAGCAACCGGTTGTTTATAATAGATGTCTCTTTCTTATCAAATACAAAAAACAAGTCAGATAATTCTTGCAAGATATATGTATGAGATTAGACAAATATTTATCTGATATAAAACTTTCTATTTACATCAGGAAACCTCAAAAAAAGAGTATTAATCATTATCTAAAATTATATACGAGTTCATAATAGTTCTTCTCAATATCAGGTGTGGTAGCTTATTTAATTGTACCTATGTAATAGTGTCATCCAATACACATTCATGTTTTTTGGATTATATAAAATATCATTGTTAGAGTCATATAATTAGAAAAGCGTTGCTCTGTCTTCTGAGCATTTACACTGAAGAGGGGCTCATATAGGCCCGAAATGCATTTGTGATTTGCAATAAAGGAGTACCTAACCTTATAGCTGAGAGAAAGTCTACCGTGTTTTACTGATTCGGATTAGAGAGACATATACTCAAACTTCATAATAGTTATCAATTTCTTAAACTAAAAAGAATAAAAAATTAATATGATATTATTTTTTTCTTAATAGGTGTCTTTTCCCTAGTAGAAATAATCTAACCTTTTCACATAAATAAAAAACAATAATGTAATGTATTTATAACACATTACGCTTAAAAAATTATATATATAAAATTTTTCAAAATTATGGGAAAATAAATAACCACACACAATGTATTAAACAATTTCCCAGTTTGCCTTTTAAGGAAGAGCAGCTTTTCTACAAAAAGAACAAATTAACCTTTACGCATAAAAATAAAGTGTAGCAGTAACTTTTTTTTTTTAAATTAACAAAACAGTGATTTTAAAAATAATTTTAAAATAACAATTTTTTTCAAAAAATAAACCGGCATTAATTACAGTTCACTATAACTAACATCAGTGGCGCATTATCCTATGGGGCATCTTTTCTAAGTAAATTTTCCCCTAAAAAATTTCTCCGAGGAAAAACATCCAAAGTCGATGCCATACATGGGGCCTCCAATTCGATTTATGCTCGGGCCTCGCAAAGCTATAACACCCCACCAATCAATATTAAAATTCAGAGTAAATTCAGTAAATTATATAGATTAATAAATAGCATTAATATTTTAATGACATGTAATTAAATTATTCACCAGAAATCTACTCAATAAATAATAAATTTCAATGCAATAGAATAGAAATTCTATTTTAAAATATTACCATTAGAGTAGTGTAATTAAGAAGTCAGAACTTTATAATTTTTACAGATACAACCAGTTTTTTCAAAAAATAAACAAACATTAATTAGAATTCATTATGTTAATATCAGTGGCGCATTATCCTACGGGGAAAAAGGGACAATTGATTCGAGGCCCCACCAACAGTGAGTCTTGAACCAATCTTTTATAGTAAATTTTTCCCTAAGAATTTCCCCAGAGAAAAATGTCCGAAGTCGACACCACACGCGGGGCCCTCCAATTTGATTTTTGCCTGGGCCTTGAAAAGCTATAACACCCTACCAATCAATATTAAAATTCAGAGTAAAGTAATGTAATTAAGAAGCCATATCTTTATAATTTTTAGATACATCTATATTGAAAAAAATAGATAGAATTAAAAGGAAGATAAAAACTGGAGAACACTTCAAAAACATTAAATAATCTGACTTCTTAATTACACAGCATTTTCATCTGAAAAAAAATTATATAGATTAATAAAATAGCATTAATATTTTAATGACATGTAATTAAATTATTCACCAGAAATCTACTCAATAAATAATAAATTTCAATGCAATAGAATAGAAATTCTATTTTAAAATATTACCATTAAATTTATAATACAGAAAAAGAGATAATAAATTATAAACAAAGTTAAAAGCCTGCATACTTATTCTAATTGCTTAATAAAAGTAGAATTAAATGGAGAAATATGAGCAAACATCGACATCGAAAGACGAATATGGATGAACGATCGTCGTCTGTTTATATTTATAGCAACAGACTATAGTTGTGTAACTCAAAACCATTTGCCGAAAGGCATTTTATATACGAAAGAAGGTATTATTAATATAATAACAAACTATAATAAATAATAAATAATAATAATATAGTTTTTATACCTAAATAATTACATCTTGGTCGAGTTTGCGCCTTGAATATACCGCATTCGATGTCGTCTGCGTTTGTTTAGTCGATCGCACGTGACATTCAGGACACGCACGTACACCACAGCAGGTGGACGGATTCTAAAATTTTATTAATAATTTTACGTAACTGATTAACTGGTATTATTTTGAGTGTGGTTTTTTTATGTAATATTAATCACGATTTTGTGAGTAATTTTTTAATTATGTATTATGTAAAAATAAAAGAGTCACGTGAACGAGGTTATGACCTACGACCTTCGTTATGTAATAGGGTGAGAAACGTGAATGGCGATTTATTTTTATCTGCATTGAGAGATAGGTTTAAAATTATCTATTTTTGCACTAAATTAATTTCATTTTATCTCCGACGGGTATTAAATGTAAATAATTTTAATAAATAAAATTGATGCTATCGATTTTTTTAATTTTATTTTTATTTTTTGAAATGCTTCGTTTTTCCGTTAATGGCGCTTTGTTGCATTTTAATATTTTAAAAAATAACTTTAAATTAACTAATTACGTCTATACAAGTATTTTAAATATACTGAATACAACACACACATATTATACATATACATATTTTTTCCCCATAAAATATTTATCTATTTAATTATGACGTCATCATATAAATAAAATAATTTTTTAATAATTTCTTAAGAGACCGACGCGACACGCAGCGATAAATATAAAATGCGTTCAATTCGACTTTTTTTATTTCTTCCTTTTATTAACGAGACACGCTTCTTCATTAATATAATTATTTCCAACCAAAATCGAATAAGTGTCATATATAATGGAAATAATTCGCGCAAGACGGAAATCAGCGCGTCGCATCCTTGAACAAACCGCGACGCGCCACGCTAACTACAAAATCTGTTAGCTTTGCTCAGTTTTCCTCATAACATGATATTAGATTCGTCACTCGTACAATTATCTCGCATTTAATTGGTCATTGCAATCGCATGCTACAAAGTAATCAGTGCCGTGACAAAGGCAACATGCGAGAAGTCGAAATATAAAACTATTCGCATGAAGTAGTTTAACGAAAATTATGGAAGTAGCTGAAATCGTATCAATTTTAACGAACTTTATCGACGTTTCTCTCTTAATATTAAACAATGTGGCTCAGACGTCGCACGATTTTTTGACGACGATGACGACGACCCCAATAAAAAAATTGTGAACTCGATTAGACAGACATTCAAAAATCGATCATAACGATCGATCATTAATTAACGTATAATATATTAATATCGTTAAGAAAATAATAAATTGGCTTCTTTAAAAACTTCTTTATATATTAATATTTGTTATATGACGACGAACTTTTTAAAAGTTGCTTCGGTCACGTGGGTAACTGATCCCAAAAAAAAAAGCATTATAAACCCTATAAAAAGTTAAATATGTACAAATTTTATAAGACAAATTATCATTTTAAAATCATAAATCATATATGAATGAGCATTATTTGTGACTTTGCATAGCCGCGGGATTTATTCGAATATTTTCAAGGACGAGTTGTTTACGTTAAGAATTTAATGTTAAAAAATATTATTTCCGTTCTTTATTGATTTTTTTAAATGCTAATAAGTCGTCGACATAAAAAAATTACTTATATATGTTAGCACGAGTATTCATCATCTTTAATTGTCCTAGAAAGACATCTTATCTTCGAAGAATATTTTTATATTCGTTCTTGCTTATCTATTATTTGGGACGTTTGCCAATTGAATGTTTTTAATTATGCCATTTTATATAATTAACAAGTTTTTTAAATAACAAACTGAAGTTTTCCTTTATAAGACCTATTCATCTCATTTTATATTTAAACAAAAACATTTGTATAAGCAGATTTTGTCTGTATCATAAGTGGCATCTTATATTGCGACATCGCATGACATCGTGCGATTTTTACACCTATAATTAATATTTTTAAATATTCGTATTATAAATTCGTTGAAAATTGTCGTCGAATATATAAAAATTTTTAATTGCTTATTTTTTTATTTACTTAATATAAAAGAAAATAATGGAACATAAAATTAGTCACAAAAAGTTCAATCTATTATTTACTAATTATACAGATTCCATATTTTAAATATTGTTTCATTATGTTTGTTGTTTAAAGTTTATAATTTAATATAATTAAATTTTATTCTGATAATATACTAGATCCGATTGTTTATCAGATATAAATCGTTCCTAAAGTATTATATTCTCTTCCACCATATCAGTTTAAGACATGATTGATAAGAAATGATGAATGATAACAAATGTGTTTTATCTGTAAAGAACTAATTGAGTTTTTGTCTTATTTTCAAAATCAATAAGAGCACCTGGATCTAAATCAAAACTCTTCTATTAAATTTAATTATAATTATAATAATTCAATTTTTCATGTATACACAATTATCCAATTACAATCATAAGGAATAATGAATTAATTTTTTAAAATTATTATAAGATGAAAGAGCCTTTTACATTATTAAAAAATTACTATATTTATAAATTAAAATTTTGTATATTATCAAATCAAGTTTATATTTAGTGAAAATCAATTAACTTGATCAGTTACTTAATTGGCATTATTAATCACATAAAATTAACTGATACATGAGAATATCTTATCATTACTTTTTTATATTGTTTTAAAGCATATTATAAGATATTGATAATAAAAAATTCTAAAAGATAATTATTAAAACACACCTTTGGGCCACTTTCTGCTGCTTTGATTCAAACTCGAATTTTGCAAAGTGACTATAATTTTGATTAGTGAGAACTTTTTTAATATTTCTGTCGGAAAAATCACATGACATTTTATCAATTCCTAATCATTCTAATCAAAAAGTTTAAAGTTCAAAGTTATAAATAGTAGAAAGTATTCATTAAATATATAAACATGTACATTATAATTTTTTTTAGAATTATCAGATCCAAACTGTTGGTACTTTTAACATGTGCATTACTATATCTTATATTGATGCTATGTGAGATTTGTAAAAGTAAAATAATAAAATTTGCAATTTTATAATTTATATTAATTTATTTGTATCTGTCATCAGTATTCTACTAATATTTTTTATAAATTTATGTTACAATAGTCTTTATCTGAAGTGTATATATGTATGTACTGTATATATATACATACAGTATATACACAGCAATTTCCCAGAAAAAAAAAATATATATATATATTTTTTCTAGGAAATTATTGTATATATCTTTATTTCTTACAACTGTATTCACAACCAAGGATCAAGAACTAGAAGTTAACCAATTACCATTCACTTTACTTTTAGTATGTGAACACCTATCATTTTCTAACTCTAACTCTTATCCTTGGTTCTGAATACAGACATCAGAGAGATAACATTTGTTCAGAAAAAAATAATTGTAAACATGTATCCATATATAATTGATGAAATGGATAGACAGATAAACATTCTCAATTATCATCAGCTCTAATTATATCTCAGAAAACTTAAATCCTGTTACAAAATGCCTTATAAAGGAACTTTTCTATTTTTATAACAAATTAACTGTTATATTTATATATATAGTAAATTTTAATACTACTATCTGCATATTTAATCTATAGCTGAAATCTATAGTAGACATATAATAATTAACATGTCCCAAATAACACTTCCTTTATTGAGTATAGTAAAAAAGCCTTATTATTAATTTATATTTAATAACAATCAATCAATCAAATTTATTGCTCATAGGTTTCACTAGCTTGAGGATACAATATTACAATTGATTAATAATTCATGAATAATTATAATTAATAAAAATTATTATATTTGGAAAATTTCATATTCATATGAAACATAAATTTAGTAATGGAAATAGAAATAGATATACTTGTCTCTTAATCAACATATTGATTCAAATCACCACTTAAATATAAACTCTAAGCCAAAATCAACAAAATATAAAGAATGGAATTATAAAAGTTATTAATTTTAAAATTAATTTTGTTTTATTTTGTTACAATATTTTTTTTTATACATTTTAACCAAGCTATATAATCTGTTATGTGTAGATAAATAGTACTTGAAGTTAATGTTTAATGTAAATGCAAATAATTTAATAACTTTTAAAGTTAGCTTGAAAAATCATTACCATTTATATCAGCTCATTGGAAAAAGCTGTGTTTAGATTAATTTGTGTTAAAAGTGAATCACAAATTAAATTACAATGCTATTCATTGTAAGGATTGCTAGAATTTGGACTAAAATAAATAGAAAAAGACCAATATTGAAATATGAATGAATATATTTACTATAGTCTTTCCCAGAATAAGAATAGAGCCAATATTTATTAGTCTATACATGCAAAGGAAAATAGTACCATGTTCATTATGAAGTAATTATGTTTGAACTGTTATAAATTATTTTAAATTTTGATATTTTTGCAAAAAATTTGAGATTATAAAAAAACAAAAATATCACATCATCATATGATGTAATGTTTGAATTTTTGAAGTTTTTATTCTGTTCTAATTTATACAACTTTGCTTCATTGCTTAGCTATGGTGGTAGAAGTTGATACATATTTGAGTTCAGATCTATTCTTATTCTGAAAAATGCTATAAACACTTATTATAATTAAAACAAGATAGTGCTTTACCTATTATATAATAAAAATAATCACGCTATTATATTAACTAACAATAACAGATAGGAAAAGCTATTTCTGTGGATAAGTATAATGATAATACAATTTTAAAATATTACATAAAACTCTAGGATAAGAATGTATAGGTTTCGTCCAGAAAAATAGTTTCAGTTGAAATTATTTCATAATATTTATAGTATTGCAATAAATTCCATTAAAAAATTTCAACAACATTAAAGATGCTATCATATTGTTTAATAATATGTTTTCACAATTATTGGATAAAATTTAGTGTGTTACAGAAAAATGTATGAAATGACTGTTTATAAATAAAATAAAAAATATTTAGTAATATTTCAAAATGATTCCATTTCTTAACTAATATAACTTATGAAAAGTTTCAATCAATTTTTACTTTATTTAATATAATACATTTTATAACATTCATGAATAAATAATTTATGCAACAACATTTATTCTAAAACTATAAATTATTTATACATTTCTTAATGCATAGTTTACTTGAATACAAAAATATTACAAATAGTTTTAAATAAGTATACACAAAAAATTTTCAACATTTTCCGTACATTTTATTCTGCTGATAATCATTTTAAAATTTTGCTCCAATTATTTTAATTATATAAATATACACTGTATATATAATTTTTCCAACTTAGTAACTGATATATGCTTATGGAATTCTTTATATCTTTGTAATAATAATGAAAATCTTTATATACAAGAGATAAAGACATTCAAATAAATAATTAACGATAATCTTCAGCACTAAAAAGTCCCTGGAAAAAAAATTCACGAATTAGCCAAATTCAAGTAATCATTTTATATATTTATAATAAATTGTAACAATACCCATAACTAATCATTCTTAATCTTAATTAACTTTTTAATATAATGCTAAGTAAAACAAATATTAAATAAAATGACAGAAGATAATATCTAACTATTCTATATATAATTGTAATTATAAATGTGTTTTCATATAATTTCAATTATTTAAGATAAATGTGGATTACACAATAGCATTTACAACAAAAAAAAACCATATATTTTACTGTTAGCATAAATTTTAAAAATTAAGACAAATATTTTATTCTAAAGAAATTTTATATGAAACTGCTTTTCTTAATATTACTAGAATCAATTTAAAATAAATCATAAAAGTATTTAAAATAATATTTGCAATGAAGTCTACAAATATTTCTTTAAGAACAATAATTGTTGTGTGTCTCATATTTAGAATGAAGCTGACATGCTGTAGTTCACATATGCACAGAAAAAAAGTTCAATCTTTTATTACGTGTAGAAAATAATATATAAAAGATGCACTAGAAAATTATTGAACACATTTAAATTGCTAGTAATCTAGTAAATAAAATTATCTAGTAAATAAAATTTAAAATGCTGCAATAATTTCAAAAATAGAAATCTTGACATGCCACAGGTCATTAGGTCAGCAATGACTTATTTTTAAAAATTCTTTAAATAGTGAAATAAAAGATGTCATGGAAAGAATTGAAGGTTGGGACAATTGCTTAACTATGGCAGCAAAATAATACACAACAGATTGTTCCAGGTTTTGAATAGTTCCAGACTACAGTACTGTATTATTGTTAAATAATAATACTGATACATAATTATAATTATGGAAATATTTCTTTAAATTTTTTGACAGATGATTATTTCATAAACTGATAAATGAATTTGAATCTTGAGATAACATGGAATATAATAAATGCTGTCGTAAATCATAACTATGAGTTTTACAAAGCAATAAATTGAATAGAATATAAAAGAAACGGCATACAATATCAAGTAAAAGCAAAATTCCCACTGATTTCAATTTAATATATTAAATTTCATATTGTTACNGCCCATTTTGACAGGTGCCCGTCGAATGCAGGTGGTCGCCTAAGCAGTTTTCACTGTACTTTATGATAGTGTAATTTGAATGCCAGTTTCTCACAAACTTCTTGAAATGAGCACAAAGTACTCCTTGGTAGATGTGAGTAATATTTCAACATATTGCTCTTAGCTGGCATTATTGTAAGTGGATGTTTCTTGCTTTCTCTAAACTTTATAGACATTAATCTGTACTGTATTTCACTCACCAAATATTGTTACTTTTTCAAATAGTGTTTTTTTCTTGGTGGCCACGAAATGCTTCTGTCAACAGTTTGTGCTAAAAAAAATATCTTGGGTAGTATAATAGTTAATCTGATGATTTCTTTCTATGTAGTTGATCTACATATAAGTAGAGGAGAAGGTGGTATTATGGAACCCCATTACATTTTAGTGAATGGTAAACAAGGTATAACTACACCCACATTTTTTGCGTGAAAAGTACTGGTAACTATTAAACTAGAATGTTCCTAATTGGATTTTTCGCTAGTGTAACTATAAGTATGGTTTTTGAAGGCTTTTGTACAAAAAGTCAGAAAGTCAGCTTAGAGAAAATTGGATGGTAATATGGAACCTTACTGTATATTTTCAAAAAATGCTTTAATGTATCCAAAAACAAATAGAAAAGTACAAAAAATGTTAATTAATTACAAAATTATTTACTCCAATGTATTTTATTGCAAAAATACTTTTATAATAGAAAAATATAACCTCCATCAACAATATATATTCCAGCAGCTCTTTTTTGATATTCTCAGGAAGAATTGACTTTCTACCTAGTGTCTTTTTCACAAATTGCTTCAGATGAATGTCTGCTTGCAAAGAGAGAGTTTGGAGGAGTTGAGTTCCATGTTACTGTAAAAGTACCAATGGGGTCCGTATTTCACGCATCACCATCTTGAATTAACTTATGTCTGTCAAGACCAAAATTTAAAAAACTTGAACATCACACAGATTAATATGTACTCCTAAGTCTCGAATGGAATACATGAACCAGTGAACCTACAACTACACGATTTATATTTAAAAAATAATTAAATTCACTTAGCATTCAAAACTTTCGAATTTTGAAAAAAACAAATTTGCTGATTCACTACGGACAAGCGTTTAACTGAAGTGAAACGGGTTTTCCCCTTGCTATGGTTGTCTGCCTAGTTCAGTTCAGCCACAATCCGCTACAGTTCGCCTTTATCATCAGTTCGAAATGCAGTGGTTCCATAATACCTGCAATGTTCCATAATACCACCTTTTCCTCTATAGTTTTAGAACTAGACTTGTGAAAAGGGAAAACCATATTTTATTATATTATTAAATATCAAAAAATCAAGTTATATGGTTTGAATTTATACTTATATGGTTTTAGTTTATTTTTATACTTACATATAAACAAATTTTAATAGTTAAAAAATATGAATATTTGTAGCAGGGGATGCAACTGCTAGTGCAATGCCACAACAAATGAAAAATTATTTTGTATTTTAATTTCATTTCACAGTAATTTTTAATGATATTCCAAAAAATTTGAATTTATCATAGCTTTCTTTCCAAAAAAACTAAAATAAAATGTTTTAAATGAAATTAGAAATTAGCTAGATATTATTGGTAAAAAATCATTTTCAATGTACAATATTAATATAACAGATATAGCTCTAAATTCAAATAAAACATACTTTATTTAAAATTTAAAAAACAAAAAAAAAAAAAAAGATTTCAATTTTATATAATATTAATTATATCAAAAAATGATATATGATTACACATTTACATTAAACTTTCATTGCATTACTTACTTCTCATGTTACTTAGTTTTATATTGCACTTTTTTCCTAAATATCATATTATTACTTATATTGATGTTGCAAAACAGATTAACTTACAAAACTATAATAAGTGATTTGGCTTTTTCTTTTTTAATTTCTGAAATATTTTAGTATGTGCAAATCAACTGACAATATGAATTATTTAAGTACTTGTCTAAACATTCTATACAAATAATGAAAAAGTCAGATTGCATTAATTCAAAGCTGTCTACAGGTCCTGGCACAATAAAATTATACGGTTTTCCATATGATTTTATCAAGTCAAAATTATCAGTACTTTTAACTTAAACCTATTTTCCCACGTACCCTCCATTCTTTGATAGGTATGTGATCTTCACTACTCTTATATTCATGTGAATACAGATGATTAAGATAAACATTGACTCCATGCTGAACACATCGTTATGCTATTATAATCTTACATCAACATCTTTTTACTAATACAGTAAATTTATGTTCTGGAATTCTGATTGGGACAAAACACATTTTGCATACAGTTTATGATGCTCAAGAGTGCTGTCAAGCATTCTGTATTCTGAGTGCCTTGACAGCATGCTCAAAAGTACCATAAACTGTATACAATTTTGTATTCCTTCTGTGAACAGATTTGTGAGAAACACCTTGATAACAGGAAATTTACAGGCACAGAAATTTGAGAAAATCAGATACTAACCTCATTAACTCNCATGTTCTATGCCCAAGATCTTCAAATATTCTATATTATGTTCCATTTATTTTTCTGTACAAACAAAAATTTTTTCCTGATAATACAAAATATTCTATCTAAAACTTTGAATAACAAAATCCAGATTATTATTGTTAGCCTGCCTAAAAGGTTTAAAATGTAATACTATCTACATCACAACTATTTTCTCAACATTCTAAGATTTTTTAACTAAGAAGTTACTATTTTCAGATTTGCAGACTATACAAATTGGGTCAAGAGCCAGGAGCATCTTGATCTAAAAGATTAATTGTAATATTTTTAAAGAAATATAAGACTTTAAAATAAAAGACAACAGACATTATCTGAACTGAAAAAAGGCAACAGAACAAGTTTGCTACAGCTGCACTCCATTAATGAAACAGAGAGGTTTTCAGAAATTAAAACATTTAATAAATTTCATTATAGTATAATGTTTTTGGTTTGATGCTCATTGATATTTATTCTATACTTNCATTCTGTATTCTGAGTGCCTTGACAGCATGCTCAAAAGTACCATAAACTGTATACAATTTTGTATTCCTTCTGTGAACAGATTTGTGAGAAACACCTTGATAACAGGAAATTTACAGGCACAGAAATTTGAGAAAATCAGATACTAACCTCATTAACTCGATACTAACCTCATTAACTCAAAACTAACTTAAAGCTGGGAGTTTTTTACTCTTTAAACTTTGAAGTTTTACTATATATATAAACAGTAAATGCAATAGAAATTATTTAATTGAATTTTAGACTAAAAGTAACAAAAACAACATTCATTATTTTCCATGTTAATTATTTAATTCTGTTTGCAATATAAATGAACTAGCAGGTAAGCCCAGCATTGCCCACACAAAAAATAAAAACAAACATTAAGGTTATTTCGTACTTCTAACTATTCTATTATAATTTTTTTTATTATTTGATTTATATTTACAAAGGTTATCTTATGTAAAGGTTTATCACATCAAGTGCCCAATCTAACACATTTAAAAAATTTTTTATTCCTATACTGTACACAATTTAAAGAATTTTTAAAATGTGTTAGATTGGGCACTCGATGTGATAAATCCTTACATAAGGTAACCTTTGTAGTTAAGTAAATCAAATACTATAATATAGCAAACATTAAAATGAAAATCATATAAAGAGTTTGGTTATTTCAGACTACTATTGTCACGTTTGTCATGATACTCGGATGGTATGAAATGGCACAAATTCAATGGTATGACTTTTTTAAATAAAAAAAATCTTGTAAAAATGATAGAATAAATTTTTTAATATTTTGGCAACAGAGTGTATAAACTGTGGGAGGTGTGTTCTTGTAAATATTGAATTTATGGAAAAATTA